GCTATGCTGATTTGTGCCAGGCACAAATCATCCCAATGACTCCAGTGGAACTATGCTGTTTTAAGTGTGGCAGGCTTGCCGGTGACAGCCTGGCTTAATGATTTGAACCAGATGGCTCCAGCCGATTGCTGAGAAAATTCCCCTTTCCTATCAATCAGAAGGGGGTAGGAGAGAGGCTTGCCCCGCCCTGACCCAGGGGCAAGGTGAAAAGGAGGACTTGAGGGGGAACTAACCCCTCAGGCTTTTCCATTGGTTCATTCCCAATCTGAGGGTGGAGCCCCAAAAAGGAATAAAAGCCTGCCTGCATGCCAAGCACATGGGTGGTTTTGACAAGGGACAACGAAGACGGACTACTGAAGAGTTGGCAAGAGCTGACCAGTGGGGCGGAGCGGTTGCCCCAGAAGCAGCCTGAAGACACCTCCAGCAAGTGGGAGGCAGTAGGTGGCTGTGTCCCAGCCCTGCCGTGGGAAGAGCTGCGGCATTGGTGCACAGACTGGTGCACGGAGGGTCTGGGAGCAAATGGGACCTCGGTACCTGCATGAGGCAGCGTGGGTCCCCAACCCTGCACAAGGCAGGAGCCCTCAGTGCATGGATTGGTAGACAAGGCTGTAGAGCTGAAGGGACACAAGGCACCCTGCACAAGGCAGCACAGGTCCCCATCCCTTTACGAGGCAGGTGCCTCCTTTGGTGCACAGGGCAGTGCAAGGGGCTGAGAGCTGAGCAGAGTTGACAGGATGCTGGGCACAGGTGACTGGTAGGGAGAACATGGAGGGGGGGGGCACATGCCCCCCCCTGAGATTGGCCCCCAAAAGTGCTGGGTGACCCATTGAGGTACCCCAACTTGTCACCACTTAGGACAGGGCCAGGTGCAGAGTGAATCCCCGCCAGCTCAATTCTACAGCTGGGGACTGTGCTCTGCTTCTCTACCCAACCCCGCCCTCCCTGACAGTGCTCTGGAGCCCAGAGCATCAGAGAGCACTCCAGTCAACCAGAGGACTGCCTCGCCTCCTTCCCCTGTGCAGGAGTGGATATGGCGCTTTTGGACCGCCCCCAGGCCCGCCCACAAGTTGTGCCCCCTGCAGACTCAGGAAGCACCAGTCACCCATGATGCTGGGGCTGCATGAGGCAGCACAGGTCCACTTCCCTGCACGAGGCAGGCACCCCCTCCAATGCACAGGGCAGTGCATGGGGCTGAGAGTGGGCAGATGGGCCCAGTGGCTGCACAAAGCAGCTCAGGCCTTCCTGCAGTGAGTGGCAACTGGATGGGTCAACCACTCTCGTGAGGGAGGATGCCCCACATCCAACCCAGGGATAAAGATGGGCCTAGCCCTTCAAAACTGCTGGGAGTCGTGACTTACTTGGGAAAGGGGAATCCCACAGGGGAGGAGGGGTGCTCCCCATTTTGGGTGATCAAAGGGAAGCACCTGACGGGAAGGGAAGGGAATGATTCATCCTTGGGGTAGACAGGATTCTAAGGCCCCCTGTTTGTTAAGAGGGGTTTCACGGTTACAGGACTCCTCCTAGTTGGGTGCCCTAGGAGAGGGTGTTGGTGCTCTTTTAGGTAACAGAATCATTCCCCAGATGCCGTTTCTTCTTCGGGCACAACTGCTGGGTCATTGTTGTGTTTGGGTTCCTTGTGTTGTTGGGATTCTTGTTGTAACCTTGTGTCCTTAATGTTGTATTCAGCCTGCTAGCACAGCCTCAACTGTATATCTAAATTCATTGTATTGGTTATCTTTATGTATCTGCATCTCATTTGATGTAATTTCATTCTGTATGTTCAGTTATTGTCCTATCACTGCCAGATTTTCATTTGTTGATTTATTGCCTAACCTGTGTTTTATGATTGAGTGTTTCCTGCCTGCTGCCTGGAGAGCCCTGTTGAAGGGCTGCAGCATACTGACTGGAAGGCCACAGAAGATCAAGGCTGATGCCTAAGTTCAGGGTTAATAACAGTTATTGTCTTTATGAACCTATATTTTGTAAATAATTTATGTATATGTATAGATATGCATACACATACATGTATGTGTGTCTATATCTATATATAGGGTGTGTGCGTGTGTGTGTGTGTAATTTTGTACAATTAAACCTTCAAGTAGTCAAGTATCACTGGGAGTCCTTGGACTCTGCTCTGCTCTGTAGGGAAGGGAGGTGAGCTAGCCCGCAGCTAGGCAGTCACTATCTCACAGCATACTCACCCACTGACATCCCTTCAATTGGAGAGGGGGTAACAGCCACGTACCACCCGGGTTACATAAGCTTTACAAGGATCTGGCCCGTTGATGGAGCAAAGGCAGCATGCATTAATGGATTGTTCATGGGACGAAGCACTACAGGGACCTGCATTAATCACTGTCACTGACCCTTCACTGACCTCAGGCTTTTGAGCATGGGTCCCTCAAGGTAGACACCCAAATCAGCACTTCATCAGTAGGAACTACAGGTCATTGTTCCAGGTGCCCAAAATCTGAGGTTCAATCCCTAATTTTAGGCATGAAGATTTGAAAAGTTTAGACTCTCCCCATCTGTTCACTAGGAAAAATATTTCTCATTTCTACTGTGTAGGGCTGCTCTTTGCTCTGGGGCTTCACTAGTTAATGCTTTTACAATGTGGTAAAGGTATGTGAACCAACTGTCCGTCTCAGTCCCTCCCCTTCAGTGCAAGGGAGGTCAAGAAGATTGTGCTGGTGTAGTTAGCTTGTGAAGTGCCATATAAATGCCAAGGTTATCATTATCACAGTTGCCTGGAAAGGCTGAGAACCATACTAGAAAGGGGAAGGAAAGAAGTATTCAATAATAAAATGCACAGTGACCAACCCCCTACATTATAAAGAAATAGTATTAAGTAACAGCAAGAATGTGGGATCCTCAGTGAAATGTGATGCAGCCTCCATAGTTTGTTCTACAGTGTGGCTTTGTGCTAGATGGATGTTGGTTTGATTCTACAGATACAACAATCAAATATACTGGGACCAGGCTGGAGCTTTTTGGGTGTACCCAGTCCCTTCAAGTTATTTGTTGCATGATATATTTTTAATGACTGCTTGGAGCCAAAAGAAAACTGCAATAATTTGAAAGAGTTCCCAGTACTGAAATAAGCAGTTTTCCACCAGATGACTTATTCCCATTCAAGAACAGTTACTTGGGCTGTCTGAGCTGCAAAATTATTTTTCTTTCTTGAGTTGGTTTGGCTTTCTTCCAATCAAATCTATAAGAAAAGCCAACATATATCACTTGAAAATGGCCACTTCTTTCCCTGGCACTGTGTGTTTCATCCTAACAAATATAACTTTGGCTGGAGAAGAAAAAAAGTAACATTAGAAATGGATCAAATTAAAACACCCAGATCCAAAGTCTATGAGAAAGTTTGATGTTGAAGCCAAACTGTAGGGCTTTGACCCATTTCTAATCGATACCCAGTGTGATAGGAGTTGGAAATTCCATATTTACCACCACATGGCACAGGCCCTGGAAGCAGAAAAGGGAATGTCTCATATTGCTCACCAGCTACCCCCCACCCCACTTTGGCCGAGTAAAGCCAAGTTGATGGGCACTGAAAGAAGTCATGGTAGGCTGCCTGTAAGCTACAAGGACATGCGTCTGGGAGCAGCTTTAAAGCTTCAGCAGGTTCCAGAGCACTTCGTTGGCATTAAAATGTAACATGCAGAATTAACATAATTGAAATGCAATAATTTAAACTGAGAAAATCAAGTAAATTCTTCCCTGAGATGATTTTGCCATCTCCCTGCCCCAAATCCTATTGGTGTTTTTTCTCTTTTGTGTGGCTCAGGCTCATAGCTCTCTCCCTCCATGCCCTGTGTGCGTCTATCCTTCCTTCATCACATTTCTCCTTCAGTGTGGACTCTCCCAACTTCTCCCCTTTGTTCCATTCTTCAGCTCTCAGCTTTTTACTTATTTAACACCACCCGCTCATTTGGATCAGCGTCTCACCATGCTCTCTATTGCTGTTTGTTATGTGCGTGTGAAACAGTATCTAGAATTGTGGGGTCCTAATCCACGATTAGGGATCCCAGGCACTCCAGTAATACAAATAACACTAAATAATGCTGCAAAACTATCTATGTCAGAGCAGGTGTCTGTGTCTGTCACTGGACAGTGGGATTTTGCCCTACTACAGCTGCATGTATGCAAATCTCTAGCATGGTGCTGATATGCTGTGTATGTTAGAAGCATGCACTGAGTAAGCTGCATCTGTGTAGCTCACTGATGCAAGTGTGATCATACTTTGCTTTTTTGAGGAGCCTTACCTTTAAGAGGAGCCCCGACTCTTTCAAGAGTCAGCTGGAACCAGTTATTGCATTATACAGAGGCTCATATTATGTGATCCTAGAAAAACAGGGCTTAGAAGAGACCTCTAAAAGTCATTTTGTCCAGCACCCTGCTCAAGGCAGGACCATCCCTGTCTAAACCAGCCCAGCCAAGTTTGTGTCCAACCTGCTCTAAAAAGCTTCAAGTGGTAGAATTCTTGTCTGCCACATGGGAGACCTGGGTTTGATTCCTGGATGTGCATATAACTACAGCCATCGAGGCACCGAAAGTCTGGACTCGGTCTGGCCTTTGGATTATGTCTCAATTGCCTAAAGGTGGGATGGAAGGTCTGGGCAGCCTCCTCCATACTCCTGCCTAAGCATGTGTGTCAAAGGTTCTGGTGACCTCTCATGCATACACCACAATCCAAAAGGAGTGACAGTTGCCTGCTGTAGATAATTTGTTCTGATGCTGGGAACTGAACATCTCACAAAGTACTTCTTTCCCTTTCCAGGATCATGGGTCTCAGCTTTCGGGGCAAGTTTGGCATTCATAGATACACTAGCACAATCCTATTGACTGCAGTGGCTCTAAAGCTGGGTAACTGAGAAGACAGAATTTCTTCCTACTATACAACTAAAATTTCCCTCATTGTAACTTTGAACTGTTCTTGTCCTCTGCGGGCAGAGAGAATAGTCCATCACCATGCTTGTTATAGCAATCTTTTTTGTATTTGATGACTGTTACCAATTTACACCCCTTGGTCTTCTCTTCTCCAGGCAAAATTATCCCAGTTCTTCCAACCTTTCTTCATATGGGATGTTTTCTAGACCTCCAGGTTTTTTTTTGTCATTCTGTTTTTCCTGCGTCTGTTGTGCCCCAGACTGGACCTGCTACTCAAGGTGAGGCCTTTCCATTGCTGAAAAAGATGAAAACATCACTTCCTGCGACTTGCACACAACATTGTTGTCAGTACATCCCAGTATGATTTTGGCTTGTTTTGCAACAAGAGAACACTTGGCTCATATTCAGCTTATGACCTCCAGGATCCTTTTCTGGGAAACCTACCCAGTCATTGCCCAGTTTCATAGATTCATAGATGTTAGGGTCGGAAGGGGCCTCAATAGATCATCGAGTCTGACCCCCTGCATAAGCAGGAAAGAGCACTGGTCTCAGATGAGCCCAGCCAGATGCCTATCCAGCCTTCTCTTGAAGACCCCCACGGCAGGGGAGAGCACCACCTCCCTTGGAAGCCCATCCCAAATTTTGGCCACCCTTACCGTGAAGGAGTTTTTCCTGATATCTAACCTAAATCTGCTCTCTGACCATTGTTCCTTGTTACCCCAAGAGGCGCCCTGGTGAACAGCGCATCTCCGATCCCTTGCTTAGGGCTTGGTCTGTAGGCCCTTAACCATACGAGTGGCCCTTCTCTGGACCCTCTCCAGGTTATCCGCATCCCTCTTGAAGTGCGGCGCCCAGAATTGCACGCAGTACTCCAGCTGCGGTCTGACCAGCGCCCGATAGAGGGGAAGTATCACCTCCTTGGCCCTATTCGTCATGCATCTGCTGATGCACGATAAAGTGCCATTGGCTTTTTTGATGGCTTCGTCACACTGCCGACTCATGTTCATCTTGGAGTCCACTAGGACTCCAAGATCCCTTTCCACTTCCGTGCCACCCAGCAGGTCATTCCCTAGGCTGTAGGTGTGCTGGACATTTTTCCTTCCTAGATGCAGCACTTTGCATTTCTCCTTGTTGAACTGCATTCTGTTGTTTTCTGCCCATTTGTCCAACCTCTCCAGGTCTGCTTGCAGCTGTTCCCTGCCCTCCGGCGTGTCCACTTCTCCCCATAGCTTTGTGTCATCTGCAAACTTGGACAGAGTACATTTCACTCCCTCGTCCAAGTCACTGATGAAGACATTAAAGAGTATCGGTCCAAGGACTGAACCCTGTGGGACCCCACTTCCCACACCGTTCCAGGTCGAAACCGACCCATCCACTACGACTCTCTGGGTGCGACCCTCCAGCAAATTCGCCACCCAGCGGACTGCGTAGTCATCCAAGTCACAGCCTCTTAACTTGTTCACCAGTATGGGGTGGGATACCGTATCGAAGGCCTTCCTGAAGTCTAAGTATATGACATCCACCCCTCCTCCTGTGTCCAGGCGTTTCGTAACCTGGTCATAAAAAAGAAACATAAAAGTTTGTATTTGTGCTCTTGATTGTTCTGTCCTAAGTGCAGGACTTCACACTTATTTGTATTGAACTTTGTCTGCTTTGTTTTAGACCATTTCTCCAGTTTATGAAATGGATTTTGAATCCTAATCCTGTCCTCCAGTGTCTGCTACTCCACCCAGCTCGGTGTTGTCCAAAAATTTACAGAATATGTACTTAATTGCATCCTCCAAGTCATTGATAAATAGTAATGGAAGCAGGACAAACCCCTGAGGAAACACACTTGATACTTCCTCTTATTTGGACTTGGAGCCACAAAGAACTACTCTTTGAGCACAATATTCTAAGTAGTTATGCACTCACTTATAATAGTTTGATCTGAAGTTCAACCTAAGGGGCCCAGCAGGCCAGAGGAGTATTAAAGGGGCTGATCCAGTGTAGTATGCCTGATCACAGTCTATGAGTGTGATCAGGCATACTAGCCTGGCCCCATGCCCCAGACAGGCCACAGGACAGCCCTGTGCTCCAGTATAATCCAGGGCACACGGCTCCCCACAAGTCAGGCAATTTGGCAGTGAGGGAACAGTGTCAGTGTTAGTTGCCACAGCTCTGGGAGCCACAGCAATTAACCCTGCCACTCCTCCCACACCACCCTATTTCCAGAGCTCGGGTGAGCCCTGTATACCAAATGACATGGCTTTGTGGGTCAGATTCAGCCTGCTGGTGGTGCTCAGCCTACAGCCTATCTAGGCTCCATGCCCTTAGCTTACTCACGAGAATAGCAACTTTATTAGTGCTGTCTCCCATGACAAAGTCAAGGTATGTCACATTTGCTACTTTCTACCAATCCACAAAACTCATCATCTCGAAGAAGGAACCAGTTTGGCTAAGCATGAGTTGCTATTGAGAAATCCATGCAGGCTGTTCCTCATCTCCTGATCTCCATTGGCATGTTATCCATTAGGTGTTTGGAAACAGGTTTCTTAATTCAGCGGTGCCAAACTCATTTGAGATGCTGGGCTGGATCTGAACTGTGGGGCCTCTCACAGCTGCCAACTGAGGATTACAAACAGGACAAGTCTGCGGCAGGTCATGTGGCAGCAGCATTAAACCTCTCGTAGCTGCTGCCAGCATGTAGAAGCCCTGCAGCAGGTCATTTGGATGATGAAAAGCCTGAGGGCTGGATGATCTACCTCCAAGAGTCGAATTTGGCCCATGGGTCGTATGTTTGACAGTCCTGTCTTAATGGTATTCTGAAAGGTTCCAGCGTGTATGTTCCAGAACGCTGATCAGTTAGAATCTGAACACTGCAGGATGCTGAACAATGTAATTGTGATTGCTATCCTGGGGCCTTACGTTGTTCAGTAATTTCAAAGGTGTTACAAAGAATATGTTAAAAAGGATACAGGAGGTAAAAGCCAAGAGAAGGGCCAGAGATGTTTTACTCAAATGAACAGCAACATTGGGAAAGTGCAGAAAAGGTTGGTTCTTCAAATCTCTTTTCTGTTGAGTGAATGTTGCCCAGTGCTTTTGAGGTAGAACTCAAATGCTAAATGAATATTATGTTTGGCTCTGAGTGATTACTGAACACAGTTCTTACACTTCATATGAAAGAAGGTGTCTCTGTGTTCTCTATGCCACGTTGGGCCTTTGTTTATCTTGGGACTCAGAGAAAAGTATATCACCTACTGAAATAGTATCACAAACACTGCTTTCTTAGATCACTATTGCCTCCTCCCTTGTGCTCATTTTCTAACCAGTTTCCCCTCTTGACCACCACTTTTCTCCCCTTCATGCCCTCCCAGCCTTATTCCTTCTTTGCCACAGTGCTGTATTTGTGGACCAGAAACCCAGTTGAGGTATGCAACTTCCCCCTTCGGTTTCCTGCTCTAAAAAAACCCCCACACACACTTCTGAAAACCCAGCTCCCAGATCACTGTGTTTGTATTACATGTGCTTACACCTCTAATGAGAAGCCTCTTTGGATCATGAGCAGGAGGTACAATACAAGTACTACAGACACAGATGCTATGTTGCCATAACACTGTCTGTAGAAAATTGTCCAAATATAAATACAACCAAAGAAAAATCTACACAAAACCAGGAAAAGGACTTCATTCAGGGAGGCTGCAAAATCAAGCCTCAGAAATTAAGAATCGTGCATCGTATAACACATAGTATTTTTTTTGCAGGAGCCCATTCAGTGCTAAATATTCCTTATTAATGAAGATCTCTTTGATATTTTGTCTAATTTTCACTGCGCGGAGGGTGCTCCCCAGCTTTCATTTTTGTATCCTGTTCAAACCCTGCTAGGAAGACAGAATTATTGATTTCCTCCTGGGCTTTTCCATGGCCTTAATCATGGCCAGGCTACCAACACTTTTTTTAGATTACCCATTGGAAAATCCAAACAAAATATTTTGTTTCAGGTCAACTCACAACAGTCTGTAGGGTTTTGTTTGCCTGCGAAACTAGACTGAAGTGCTTTGGTTTTGGTTGGTTCCACATTAACTTGTGTCCTTCTGAACTGTGGCCCTGTAGTTCAAGACTTTCATTCTTCCCTGCAGGGTAGGTACCCCACCTCAAGTATTGCTCTCCCAAGGCTAGTCAAATGGTAGCAGCACACTTGGACAAAGTAGGTAACCAAGGAAAGAAAAATAGCCCTCCTCAAAAGGCTGGTGAACAAGTAACAGCTCACAGGGCATGGGTCCTCATTCACCTGGCAACTTATCAGAATCACCTACCAAAGGAGGCTGCATTTTATTAAAGCAGGACTCTCTTACCAGCCATTTGAGAAAGTGAAGGGATCTGAAGCAGAAACCAAGGCCATGCAGATGGTAGCAGGGGATCCTGGATTCCTCAGGGTATCCTTTACTTCCAAAAGCATTCCAGAGCAGTGAAGTAGCTGAGGCAGAAAAGGATGTGCAAGTGCTTTATCTGGGTAGGTATGTCTACGGTGCTCTCCAAGATCAACAACAATGGTTTTAGACTCCATTTTGGAAAGTCTAAGCTTGAGGTCTCATTTTCTTGAGCAGTAAGAGAGACTTTGTAATCACAAAAAATGCCAGAGGGGCCAAAGAAAGTCAGTTCCACAACCCGCCCAAGCCAAGGGAAGCTTAAAAGCCCAGAGGTTCAGGGCCCAAGCACAGCAGCCCAGTGGGAGCTCAGCCAGGCTTGACAAGAATAAAAACAAATGTTGAAATATCAGAATTTCCCAGAAGATGACAATTCCAGTTTGAGAGGTTTTATTAACAAATAATGACATCCAGTCAATGCATTTCCATGTGGTGAATATACTGTAGTAGTGCCAAGAAATAATCACATGCAAAATCTCCTCTGTGGAACACAACCATTTCTTACCTCTCAGGTTTGTAATTAAGCTGGCTCTCCCTCTCTTTTGGAGTTATGCTGTCTTTTTCCCCAACGGTTTTTATGCCAAGTCACTAGACCATCACCATCATTTGCTGCAACAAGCAGCACATCTGCTGGATTAGATTTCTGGTTTGCCGTTTTACAAGAGAGATGTTGGCAGATGAAAGAAAGTACATTCACAGCACTTTAGAATGCATCACCCCTGGAAACAAAGAGCATTTTAAACAGTGACTGGCTGTTTTGTAGTGAGGCAGAGAAGAAAGTACATTTTATTTTTTTATTTTTTTTTAATTAATATAGCTAAGCCTACCAGATCTAAATCTACCGAGCATGATTTGACAGTATCACCTGATCTTCACATCATCACATTGAACTCTGTTCCAAGGCAGCTGCATTTGCGTCACTTCCATCTCAGAGTGTGTGCATGTAAGTATGCGCCTCTACTCTTCCACTAAACAGTCCAGGGCCGAGGCAAGAGGAGTTCAGGTCAAGACAGTTTGCAAAAGATGGATGAGGGAGAGAAGCTGAAGATTTGGGAAACAAGCAGGTGAGCTGTAGAGCAAAGGGAAGCTGTCAGCGTGTTCAGGACACTCTAGGGAGACAAACAACTTCAAAATCCATTAGAAAAATGTGCATCTCTGCAATTCTCTCTCTGAGGCAGGCCAGTCTCCCTCTTGTGGGCAGAGTACATCATACATCAGCAATTTAGAGCAATGAAGATGTAACATTCTAGGTATAAACTATATATACCAAGGTAGTTGTCGTAGTCAGGACCAAGTGCCCCAGTAGATTGTCAGTAGACTGCGTTAATTGGACTCTATCTGCTTCCAAGCTAGCTGGGTCTCGGTAAAGAAAAAACACTGCCTCTGTCCCTTATACTGAGGAAGGGTACTGTGATACCCAAAAGTTTGTCTATGTCTATATCAACTATACAATTGGGCCAATAAAAGATATCATCTACAAGAATTCTTGCCTTGCATGTTGCCTGGATCATCGCAGCAACAACATAACCTCAACACTATATAGGATTCCCAGGTGCAGACTTCTCATCTGAAAACTTTCCTTGAGATATGAGGCTTCAAAGGGCAACAGCCCTAGACCCCCAAGACCAAAGCTAAGACCTCCCTAAGCTTCCCAGTCGCTAGGATGCATTCTTTCAGGCTTCTTTCTATGGCCACTTGCTTAGAGCCAGTCCTGTCTTTAGGGACAGGAGAGGTAAAGTAACTTGATTTTTAAAAAGGAATTCCTTAAACACAATGCTTTACTTTTAGGCAGCACAACAGTTACAGACCTAGGCTTAATGCAATTCCTCCATTACAACCCTGGGGGAAAACAGATTGTCCAGTCCCCTCTCCTACAGCTCTCTTCTGTTTCATGTGATGGACTGGCTCCCTTGCTTAGATAGCCCCCTTATCTTTTTTCTGTTTCTTTCCTTTTTTGTTATGCTCCAAGTGCCATCGTCTCTTAGATGTAATCATTAAAAGTAAGTGGCTACCCATGGTCCCGCCAGGATAGGACGCTTCAGTGCTGATGACCACTTTTCAGCTTCCCAGACACTATTACTTGCTACAAAACAAATCCACAATGCAGGTTAAAATCATTAACTGTTTCACAACCCAAAAAGCAATGCACTTGTTGACACAGATAATATATTCCCTGAGCTGTCACAGAAGTTACACCCATGTAAATAACCCTAAAGTAGACAAGCCACAAGCCAGCTTCCTAAACTTGAAAATATGCAATGACAAGTTCAAAACCCGCATTCGTTAAGGTATGAAAACAAAAATAAATTGTTTTGGCTTTTGATATTTGTCATAAATCACTTACATTTGAGTCCAGTATCTTCAGCAAGATGTGGATTGGGCTTCATATTTTATAACCAAAGCAAAATTTTAAGTGGTGTTGTGCCTCTGCTGTCCTGATCTCATTTCCAGTTTTTTTGACTGGACACCTGTAGGCAGTTCTTTATCATTTTTATTTTCATCCCACCTTCTCCCACACAGCTCCCCTGCTCTACAGTTGATTCTGAGACATGTGGCAAACATCCATATTTCTAAGCAAACATAAGTCTGGTGCTTGTATTTAGTTTTACACTAAATGGAAAGAGAGGAGGCACAATTAGCACTTATAACATCCTTTTTAGGAGGACACCATCCTTATCCTACACCCACCAACTGTGGGTAGAGGCAGGAGAGTTGTTGAACCGGTTCTCCTACCATGGTTCTTTCTGTCCTAGTCCCATCTCCCAACTCCTTGTATTTCCCTTCCCTCAAATATAAGGCAATGTATGTATACGTATAACAATGCCACTGACTTCTGCTAATATGTTTAACTTTGTTCCCATCTAGTGACATTCAAAGAAAGAAAAGTCCATTGGTGCCTCTGAATCAATGGACCAGGTCCTATCAAGCAGTAAAATTGGGGTGGCTACCCATCCCTAATTGGGTGGGGCAGTCCTGAAATTTAAAGATCAAGTCCCGAACTCTGGGACAGCATTTGTCTTGGATTCCCACTATTGTGCAGGGATCCTGGTTTTTTGTTTGCTGTGGAAAACCACAGGAAATTATGGGTTTCCCCTTGCAGGATGACAGGGTTCCAGCCTGCAAGGGGTGCTTGTGGCTGGGGAGCACGGGATGTAGGGGGTGCCAGGTGCATGTGCACACGGCCAGCAATACAGCCCCAAACAGCAGTGGAAATCATGCCCCCCCAGCTGTCTGCCACTAAGG